CTGAATACAACGTTAAATATTATGGAATACATAATGCAGCCCTTCTCTGTTTTACATTTTCTTTATCAATATTTCTAAGCTGATTTTATAATTTAAATATACTCTTGAGCCTTCATAAAGTAATCATTCCAGATTACTATATATTTAAACTCACTGAAACAAAGACATTATTTTAAATTAATCAGTCAGAGCCGTTTAGTGTCGTCATAAAAGTTGATTTTAAAAAAGGGAATACAAGCCAAATACACAGGGGAGGACTAGAACTAGAATTCACTCTCAAGTTTGATACTTAAGAGGAGCATTGCCAGCAGATCCAGAGATGTCATTATTCCCCTTTATTCAGCTCTGGAGTAGTGTGTCCAGTTCTGCCCCCGCCCCCCCCAAAAAAAGGATGTGGACTCATTGGAGAGGGATGTGGACTCATTGGAGGGCAACCAAAATGATTAGGGGGCTGGAGCATATGACCTACGAGGAGAGGCTGAGGGAGTTGGGTCTGTTTAGTCTGCAGAAGCAAAGAGTGAGGGGGGATTTGATAGCAGCCTTCAACTTCCTGAAGGGAGGTTCCAAAGAGGATGGAGAGAGGCTGTTCTCAGTAGTGACAGATGGCAGAACAAGGAGCAATGGTCTCAAGTTGTGGTGGGAGAGGTCCAGGTTGAATATTAGGAAAAACTATTTCACTAGGAGGGTGGTGAAGCACTGGAATGGGTTACCTAGGGAAGTAGTGGAGTCTCCATCCCTAGAGGTGTTTAAGTCTTGGCTTGACAAAGCCCTGGCTGGGTTGATTTAGTTGGTATTTGTCCTGCCTAGAGCAGGGGGCTGGACTTGATGACCTTCTGAGTCTCTTCCAGCTCTATGGTTCTATGATTCATGCTAATGGTTTAAATAAAGATACTGGATGGCTGGGACATTATCAATCTACTAAACAATGAAGGTGCCAATGGTTCTTTGTATAGTATCTAGTGTTAGTATTCTTCCTCTATAATTGCCTACTGATGGTTCTTATCTGCCTCTTTTGACATCTAGTCTTTAGTTTCTTATGGACTATTTGTTTTTCCAGTTACATTCCAGCTGGGCTTTCCCCTTGATATTTTTATACCCACTGCCTCTTCTTGTTTCCCCCCTCACATTTTTTCCTCCCTTCCACCCTTCCTTCTCCCCTCTTGATTTTAGTTCTGGATATCCAACACTCTGGTCATCTGAAGAAGTGGTCTGTGCCCACAAAAGCTCATGATACCATCTGTTTTATTAGTCTTTAAAGTGCTACCAGACTATTTGTTATTTACTAATTTATTTGTGTGATTTTCATAACAAGACATGTTTATGAAATTTCACTACGTTTATCTTAAAATGTTTCCAAAGATTGTAGGCATATCAAAAGATGTTGTATCTTAGTAAGGTAGTGATTTTGGTGGAGGATTCTCTTAAAACTAGTTCATCAAATACTCAGAAGTAAAAAAGGAAAGTCATTTGTCCACTATCTGTAAGAAAAGGAATGTTGTCCCTTTAAGAGCTCTCTTCAAGGTGTGTGTGGGGGGGGGTGTGAAAGGAAAAGAGGGATGGATAGAAAGGACAGGAAGACTTTGGAAGAAAGTTTTAGTTCTATAGTAATTAAAATTAAAATGTGTATTTTAGAGAAGGGTGCTCTTTTGAAGAATTTATGTGAAAAACTGTATGTCTGAAGAGCCAAGCATTTAAGGTTAATGCTGAATGACTCCAGTCATCTGAAGAACTGGGCTGTGCCCACGAAAGCTCATGATACCATCTACATGTTTTGTTAGTCTATAAAGTGCTACCAGACTATTTGTTGTTTTTTAAGTTTATGCTGAATACTCAGATTGTGCATCAAAATAACTGTACATGGATTTTTTTTAGAAATGTGATTTTATAATATTCAGCAAGACTCTAATGAAATATTTAAAACAAACGTTAAAGATTCAGTAGACATAGCAATGCACAACTGTTTTTGTCAGGAAAAAAGATAGCAAATGCCTGTTAAATGGTTTCATTACCACTTAATGGGGCTTTCACAATGTTATACTAATCAGTCTGGCAAACTGGAAGGTTTTTCACTTTTAAATGAATAGATTTACTTCAGGGGAAGAGTCACCAGACTGCAAACAGCAGCAGCCTGCTGCTGGAGCCTTTAGGAACTATGGGTACGTCTACACTAGCCCCCTAGATCGATCTAGGGAGGTTAATGAGAGCGACTGGAATTGCAAATCAAGCCCGGGATTTAATTATCCCGTGCTTGATTTGCATGTTCCCAGCTGGTCGCCATTTTAGAAATTGATTAGCCCAAAGTAACTGCCCGCGTCTACACAGATGAAGGGGATTGTGCATGTCCACACACTCCACTACTTCTTAGGGAACAGCCATGCTTTGGGGCTGGACTTACATAAGCAAAACCCATGTTTGCATAGTACAGGCCTATCATTTGTTTTGGCAGGGTTTTGTTTGGGGTTGTTGTTGTTGTTTTTAATAGAAAAAACTTAAAAAATAACAAATAAGTCTTACAGCACCTTAGAGACTAACAAGAAATGTAGTCTCTGAGGGTATGTCTACACAGCAAAGTTATTTCAAAATAACAGCCCTTATTTTGAAATAACTTTGCCAGCGTCTACACAGCCAAACCGCTATTTCAAAATTAAATCGAAATAGCAGAGGGCTTATTTTGAAATTGGTAAACTTCATTCTATGAGGAATAACGCCAAATTCAAAATAGCTATTTCAAAATAAATGCTGTGTAGACACTTATTTCAAAATAGGGGGCCTCCAGCCTTCCCAGGGTGCCTTGGTGGCCACTCTGGCCTCAACCAAGAACACTCCACTCCCTTCCCCGGAGCCCTTAAAAGGGTAGACTCTGGCCACAGTGTCTATGCCAGCTCCAAGCCTGCCAGCCCAAAGTCAGCAGTCACTGCTCCTGACCCAGTGGCCCCGAAGCATGAGCCAGCAAGCCACTGGCAGGCAGCCCTCCCCCCCTCCC